AATTTGGGTTGAATAGTGAACTTTTTAATAATCTCAAGAGAGGAACAACAATAGTGGAATACAGGTATGTTTGTCTTTGTGTATTTTCTATTTGTTTTTAACATCTTCACCTTTATATGTCTTGACCTGTTATATATAGACATTTTCACAGACAGAGGATGTGTTTGTTTGTTGCAGCTCTCCTAATATTGCCAAAAAATTCCATGCTGGACACTTGCGGTCGACAATTATTGGTGAGTTCAGTTTTTCTGTAACTAAAGCCAAAGTAGTTGATATTGATTCATATGTATGTGAACTAGAGTTTGATTGATAAATCAGCCAGGTCAATACTTTGGCCAATATTAGGTCACTGCAGAAACATCAGTAATAGCTCATGTGTCAGCCGACCAATGACAAGAAACTGATTTTCAGAAACCCCAAAGAAACTGAAACAGTGTCGCAATTCTATTGTTTGACCATCAGGGGGCAGCAAACACTTATTATTCAACTGTTAAAAGTCTGCTACTTGCATATTTATTGGTCATAAATTTGAAAAACAAATAAATGAAATCTTAAATTAAAGAATATAACTACAAATAATCTTGTGTTCTACTGTGAACTTATATTTTAAACTGATGACTTTAAATAAATAATAAAGAAATGAACTCCCTCTCCAGGTAACTTCATCGCTAACTTAAAGCAGACCCTCGGAAACAACGTCATTCGAATGAACTACCTTGGAGACTGGGGTATGCAGTTTGGTGAGTAACTACTGTGCAAACTAGAATCTCAATCAACACAAAAAAAACATTGAACCGGCATAATAACGTCGTCCCTCTTGGATTTCAGGTTTGCTCGGAGCTGGATTTGCTCAGTTTGGATCTCAGGAGAAATTAAAACAGAATCCATTGCAGCATTTGTTTGAGGTGAGTTTGTACGTGTGCAAGATCTCAATGCTGTGGACTGAAGTACGGTGCATGCTTCATAAGTGAAGTGTCTTTTGTCAGGTGTACGTTCAAGTGAACAAGGAAGCAGAGCAGAGTGAGGACATGAGGCAGAACGCCAGAGACTTCTTTAGACAGCTGGAGCAGCGCGAGAGCCAGGCCGTGTCGTTATGGCAACAGTTCAGAGACATCACAGTGAGCGAGTATCAACACATTTACAAGGTACAACCAGCCGCACAGCATTGTGAATAGTTAAATCTCTAAAATACACACTTGGTGGGAGAAATGAAACAAAACACAATTCAAACAACAATCTGATCTTTGCAGCGTTTAGGCGTTCACTTTGATATTTACTCCGGGGAGTCCGAGCACCAAGGTCAGGCACAGGAAGTGATGCAGCAGCTGCGGAGTCGAGGCCTGTTGAAAACCTCAGAGTATGTGACAGTATGTGATGGTTTCTGATCAGTAAATGGTTTAAAAGTCAGCATTTTGTCTTTTCAGTTGAGGTTGTTCTGTGATACATTAAACTTAAATGCACCCAGCACCTATGGGAGTTGTATCATCATACTGTATTATTCTTTTTATTATTATTATTATTATTACAGGAAGGGAACTGGTGTAGTGGATCTTTCCCCCGATGGAGACATGAGCAGCGTCTGTACAGTGCTGCGCAGCGACGGCACAACTCTCTACATCACCAGGTCCGTGCGATTCGAGTTGACAGAATAGTTTTTCACAGACCGTGCAACGTTAACCTCTTTGGTATTTTCTCCATTCCAGAGATCTGGCTGCAGCCATTGACCGAAAACAAAAGTACCACTTTGATGAGATGATTTATGTGGTGAGGACACTGACTCATTTACATCTTCACTTTTTCACCACTGCCCTTAACTTTAAAGACGACTTCATGCAGCTGTAAGTGATGAGTAGTTCATACAATTAAGGAATTAGTTTCACAAAATGTGTTCATTGTATTTCAGCCATGAAATGATGATGTCAGTCTCCCACCCTGGTTAAACCTCTTTAGATTCTTGTCTGTGTTTATGTGTGAAAGTTAAAAACATATCATCGAAGTTAAGATTTGTTCAACTCCTTCTCTATTATTGTTACTGGAGTTTCTTGCTTGTTGGCTTTTACACTTAAATCGCTGCGTCTGTTTTTCTTTTTCTCTTGTCAGACGGATAAAAGTCAAGCGACTCACTTCCAACAGTTGTTCCAGATTCTGCTCGCCATGGGTCGTCCTTGGGCGGAGAGGTAGCAGGAGAAACACCACACATCACACAGACGGGTTTAACGGAAACTGATTTAAAGTGTAGTTTTGTAAAATATATATTTTATAATATTGAAATACTGGGAAGACATTTCTCACTGACAGAACTATGTGCACTGTCTTTATAACTGCTAGAGCAGAAATTAAGAATGGAATGAAAACGGAATTCCTTTGGATTTAGTAATAATTTAATCCGTACTCCACCCACCACAGACCGATGTTCTAATTAGAAGCACTTGTCTTTTTTCTGCTCTAGAAGAACACAGCCTGGATTTATTATATTTACTTAAATTCAGTTTGGATCAGCTTGTGTTCAACTTGACTATTTTATATTCATTTTATAGAAGGTTTGATACTCTACTACACTACATTACTAAAATCCTCTAGTTTTTTACTTAACTACTTTGACAACTGTAGATACTTTGAAGATTAAAACAAAATTCACAATGTATAAAATAAACTTATGACACACACTGCTGAGTACTTTGATCTGCAGCAAATTATAATAATAATAAAACTACTGATAATACATTTTATTTTGAAAAGCAGTACCTTTGTTTTAGATAACAGGATCTTTTACTTCTAATGATTGATGATGAATGTTTCAGTGTTTCATTGGTATGTGTGTGTGTGTGTCTCGAGTAATGTGTTCACTTGCCTGCAGCTGTCAGCACGTTTCCTTCGGCCTGGTGCGGGGGATGAAGACCAGGACCGGTGAGGTGGTGTTTCTGGAGGACGTGCTGAACGAAGCTCGGACCAGGATGTTAAACAACATGAGCCAAGCAAAAAGTAAAGTCTGTCGAATATATTTAACATTTATTTTTTTAGCAACAAAGGTTTAAAACATGATACACGAGTGACAAAAATCAGTTTGCATGTGTCCCAGTAAAAGTGATCAAGGTGTGTTGAGGTGTTTCATTATTTAAAGGGGCTACAGGAAGCATTTCAACATTTTTAAACCTTTATTCACCAATTTAATCAATTTTATTCATCTTGCTGTCAGACAGCGTGACAGTTAATACAATCGTCAAAGTTATATTAAAGGTTAATATTAATACATTTTACCCTGAAAATTTGACAATTTTGAAAATGACACATTAAAAAAAGATGAATTTAAATAGACTCTGTTTGGAAAGGTGATGTTGAAACGACGGAGTGAATTATATAAAACCAGGCCTCCATTCCAGTCTTTTTAAAATGGCTCTGATGAAGGATCTACTGTGGGAATAATTGTTTAGTTGTGAATAATGTAATGAAGTAAATCAAGTTTAACAATTCTCGTTGTTTCCACAGCAACGAAGGAACTGGACGACCCCGAGGACACAGCAGAGAAAGTGGGAATCAGTGCTCTGATAGTTCAGGTAAATTAAAGTTTTAAACTTCACATCAACTACCTGATTTCTCCATTTCTCAGTTTGTCTTTATAATCTGATTTATTTTTCATGTCTGTGTCTCAGGACTTTAAAGGTCCCCTGTACTCAGACTACAAGTTCGACTGGGACAGGATGCTGCAGGCACAGGGAGACACGGGCGTCTTCCTCCAGTACACACACGCTCGACTCTGCAGGTCTGTTAGCCACTGTTGAATTTATGATTATATAAATTCAATTATTTGCATTTTAAAAAGCACAGCTCTTACAGGAATTCCAAGACTTGTGAGATGGTTTATGAGCATTTTTAATTGTTTGACTGCAGTTTAACACGGACGAACGCAGAAGTAGATGCTGCGACGTTTGATCCGTCTCTTCTCCTGGAGCAGTCGGGCGTCACCATCCTGCAGCACCTCCTTCGGTAAGCAGACCACACCACTTATCAAATATTGTCATCCCATAATTCCTCTGCATCTTCTTAAATATGAGTCAATAAAAGAGTCGTTATCTTGTATAAATATTTGACCATCATCCAACACGGCGTTCGTATGTTCGCAGTTATGACGAGGTGTTGTATCAGTCCGCCCAGGATCTCCAACCTAAACATCTCGTCAACTTTTTGTTGAAGCTGTGGTAAGGAACAGGATGTCGGACTGTGGCTGAGTGTTTAGCTGTAGAAGAATCATGGAGGGGTAATGCTATCACATAGGAAATAAATGTTCTCCTGAAGATTGTTTCTTTAATTTATAAAGAAAATTTTTTTTCCCCAAGAAAATTGTCTCTGAATTCTGAGATATTTTTAAAATTCTATAGGATATGTTTCTCTCAAGTTCTTGCAAAGTGTTTGTAGAGGTGTTAATTCAACTGTGTACTCGGGTGTATTCACGTTTTTCCTTTTCACTCTCCTCCAGCCACCTGATCGCCTCGGCCCACAGAGAGCTGCTGGTGAAAGGAAGCCCTCAGGAGGTTGCACAGGTATTTAATGGGTTCAGCCTTCTCTGCAGAGACAATGTGATTGAAAACATGATTACGACAGTATTCTGCCTAATTGTGTGTGTTTATAGTGGGATCTTTGCTGAAGTCAAATATTTTTATGTTTTTTAAATGAAGGGTTTTCTCATTTGTTCGATGTCAACAGGCGCGGTTACGACTGTTCAGCAGAGCCTGCTCGGTCCTGGCCAACGGGATGAGGATCCTCGGAATCACACCGGTGGATAAAATGTGAAATTCAAAGCATGTGAATCTTTAACCGATGTTATTTCACTGCTGCAAGTGCCAAGAGGCTGTAGATAACTTGTACTGTAAATAAGAGCCTTACATATTAAAAATAAAATAGTATTTTTTATTGAATTCAGGTCTTTTTCCTATTTTTCATCCAATCTAAAGAAACCAAGTTAGATTTTTGATACTGACTAAAAAAACCAGAAGCAACATCTGTTGTTTGTAACACATTTGCTTTAAAATTTAATAAAAGCTTTAAAACAAAGCAGAATTCAACACAGGTCTGATACCAAAGACGGGACAGTAAAGATATCAAACATCACACATGCAAGTTCTCATCATCCTTCTGTCAATGTTTGTTCTCCTGTAGTTTGGGCACATTGAGAATCAGCACTGTGTGGTACGAACATAAGAGACGCTGAGCGGTTTAAAACCGACTAATTAAAAAAAAGAACTCTGTGAGAAAGATCTGTGATATTTAAACGCCCCTGACAAATACACGGAGGCATTAAAGTAAATATATACCCTTGAATCATACCACTCCAGCGTTGCTGAAGATGAAAACAAGACTTCACTGATTGCTTCCCATTATTTACAAACTTTAAAACAGCTTAACATGAAGCCAGTTTTTTTTTTCTTTCAACTAAAATGAATTTGATTTTAAAAAAACTAACTAATTTCTGGTGAGCTGGATTGAAACATTGAAGTGGAACGAAAGCTGTCGTGATGAACTGAACACGGAGCGAGTCCAAGCGAGTGTTCATTAGCAAAACAGCTGGATTAGCTACCTGATCCCTCCAGGGCGGGAGCTTTTTTTTTTTTTTTACTTCCACAGAAATGTGACCGTCCTCTGGTCCTCCGGCAGCTGAGGGCGTCTCTGCTGCTGGTCAGTGACTCACACAGTGATCAGTTTCTGTTTGGACTCTGTGTCCTTCTGGCTCAGCTTGGACGTGTTTTGCTTTGGAAGTCCATACAGGTAGATGGAAACGCACACGAGTAAGGCACCAGAGGCAAATGTGATTGCTGCACAAGAGGGAGAGAAAAAGAATAGAATTCCTGATTTCTTTCTTAACCCGTGTCACATCGTATCACCAAATTTAGCTGAAATCGGTTTTGTAGTTTTTGCGTCATCTTGCTAAAAAACAAATAAAGCAACAAGGGCTGAATCATAACTTCTCGGTGAAAATCTCACATCATCTTTACTTTGGACTTTTCTCTGCATAAACAAAACTTTTAAACAGTTCTTGTTGAGTCATGACTTAACTTAAATTAACACCAATCATGAAAAAAGTCACTGTGTTAGTCAGGATGGTTTAAATAAAAAATGAAATAATGCACAAACACATCCTCATCTCAGAAAAAGTTCTTCTCAGCCATCACGACGTCAACAGTGTGGTTAACTTACTTATCTTCAGGCCGAACAAGAGGACGGATGCCACCGTGGAGAGGACGATGGCGGCCGCAGCGGAGAAGCCTTTCATGATGTTGTCCGTGTACTTCACCACCACTGACGTGTACAGACCTCCCACACTGGCCAGGACTGACAGCACAGACAGAACAATGTCAGCCGAACAATAGTGGGGAAAAAACACGTGTAAATAAATAGAAAACGTTCTCTGGTTTGATCGTACTTACACACTACAAAGTACACCCAGGGTGTGTAACCGAAAAAGAAGCCTTTTTCCAGAACCCTTTCACCATCGGTCATGAAAACACCCAATAGTGTGACCACAATGCCCGACAAGTACATCTGTATGTTCCTCACCCACAGGGACGTGTCGGAGCTCTTCAGCACCTTCTCAAAGTACACACCTTAATCAGAGTGGGAACACAAGCCTGTTAGAACCAAGAACATTCAAATCTGAAACAAGATGGCAGATATATCACCTTCACCTCCTGTGCAAATAAAAACACTTCACATCCAGCCACTTGTCATAACATAAGTTTTACATTTGTTTGGTCAAAGCTCTGGGTCAGTGTTGTTTGAGTTACTGAGAGGATTTGTGTTGTGTGTTAGCTCAATCAATATAAAGGGACAGTCACTGTTACCTGCAAATCCAGAGCAGATGACAGCAATGGCGATGGCCACGAAGCCAATAAAAGGATTTTGCTCTATCTGCGTGGGAAACAAAGACATGAGCCACCTGGTAATAAAAAGCACGATGCATGGCGGTGATAGTCAAATGACCTAGATGATGATGAGTCACCCGTACCTGGACTTTAGTGGCTTCAGCAGGCCTCCACTGTACGAGTGTGACGCCCCCGCAGAGCATGAAAACAGAGAACCACTGCAGCCGGCTGAGAGAGCGGTTCAGCATGAGGACCGTACACAAGGCCGTGCACGGGATCTTCAGCTGATAGGTCACCTACACAGAAAAACAGCCGAGGTCAAACAACTGGATGTTTTCCCATTTATAAAAAGAGAAGGAGGGCCGAGTGTTTCCTCTAGACACCGCTGAGCTGTTGACTTTTCATCGTCAATGTTCCTGTCATGTATCTACACTAAAATCTACAAAGCGCTGCAAGTTTGAAACGTAAAGAAAAGCTTCATTAAGGAGTAAAAATGTCACAACAGATCCAAGTGCTGCTTAAGTGATTCTCTGCTTTTCAAGTTGAAATATCGTAGGTCTCAGACTTTAGTTGGACAATGTAAGACATTTTTTACCACATGATCAGAAAAAAAACAGGATTCCTACCTGATAAACTGCTGCATCGAGGTTACTCAAGGCCAGAAAGGCCATGTTGTTCTGAACTCCGTACACCACCGAGGGCACGCTGAGCTTCAGCAGCTCCTTCGGGCTGAAGAACACGTGTTCCATGATGGAGTTCTTCAGTCTGCTGAGGCTTCCTGTTTCTCTGGGAGAGGACGACATGAAAACAGACCAATAAAGGAGGAGAAGAGGAAATGTTGACAAACCTAAATTGGAATTAATTCCACACATGGAAGGTGGTGGATCACTGTTCCTGAATTCCCCTCTAAAAAACCCTGACATCTGTTTAAGTACATGGGACAACATGAGCGACAGTGTTTTGCAGAAACAACAAAAACACAAAGAAAACACTTGATATTTTCAAAAGTAAAGCTTCAAACTTGATGGATGATGAATTGTTTTAAAGCTGTTATTTGATTGTTGACAATGTTTTCTAAATTATACTTTTACATATTCCCTCTCTCTCCATTTGTTTCTCAGTTGGCAGCACGATTTTGAAACTTGATGGAAGGATGTGATATGAGGAGTCAGGGGAGAACTCATCAGTTTCTGGTGCAGATACAGATCAGGGAATGGGTCCAGAAATGTTCTGGTCTGTTGCGAGATGAGGCGTTTTTCAACATTTTACATAATTTCCTCAGAGAATAATTCATGATGAAAAAAAATAAATCAGGCATCTTTAGGGGACTGATAATTACGAGTGTGTGAAACTTGGTCAAACAGACATCTGGTTAATGCTTTCTGAATACTATTCTAGTTTTAATCATAATAATTATCAGGTGATGATGTAAATCTAAAAGTTAGACACACTTTTTATCCTGAGGGCCATTTCAGTTCATTTTCCTCCAGCTGTTTATATATCAACTGATTCGTTTGCTTTAAATTAAATTGTGAGATCTGTATTCATTCTTTTACCTTTGCTCTGGACTTTGCTTTTTGACAAACGTTGGTGTTTGGTTGAGTTTTCTCGGGATGTTTTGTTTATCTTCTGGAGTTGAATATATTGTGACTTCATCAGTGGGTGCCAGAGTTTGAATAAAGGTGTGGACATGTATTACTCCCCAATGTCAGTATCGATCAGGCTCTACTTCATAACCTAGATGATTAATCGATTAACCATGAGAACATCTGGCAGAAGTCGCTCCATAGTTTCCTCCAACACATTCTCTACCTCCAGGTAAACCCTGGTTGTTTCCCCACGATCAGGGTCGAGGTGGCGGACTTACTTGGCCAACATGCCCAGACTCAGGACGAGTTTAATGACCTCGGTGATGCACACTGCGGTGGTGGAGAAGTACAGGTCCCCGGACGGGATGGTCCTCGTGTACCGCAGGGCCACCGTGTACGTGGCCGCCACCAGGGTCATCACCGTCAGGCAGTAGAGCTTGAACACCACGCTCACGTTTTCTGGAGGAACACGGGGAAGAGTCGGTGAAAGCAGCTAAGGGGGTCATCCTCCATGTTCGAGGCTGAAGCGACACCAGGCTCCGTCTTTAACCGACTAACCACGGCCACACACCGGCTCCACGTCACACGGACATGTCACACGTGGAGGAGCCATTTTAATTCACTTTAAACTATCAATGTTTCTGCCGCCGTGTTGTTCTTTCTCTAAGCTAGCTCTGATGCTAACGTGTAGCCGCAGCTAGAACTCACCGACGGCCATTGTGTCTGTTCAGTGTCCGTCCTGGAGGCAGCGGGGGTCGGTTGTCCGGCTCGTTACATGGCGTTAAAACCTCCGCATGTCCGCCGTGCTGGTCCGAGGTGAGTCCGCCGCCGAGGACGGGAGGAGACCGGGGGAGACGGGAGGAGAGGACCGGAGGAGCTGGACCACGACCACAGCGGCTGAGGAGCTTCCTGCCTACATCACCCAGAATGCAACACGAGGCGACTGAATCGAAAGGCGGAGGGGCTGGTTTCCAGTGACGTCACCGCTCCTCTCCCACCCCCTCTTCAGTGACGTAGTACTTGATGCAGCTCTAAATAATGACCACAGGGGGGCAGCAGAGTTCTCCACAAGAGAAATATGCGGCATAATCGGGGGGCTGGTGGAGGACTGCAACTGCAAGGCAAAGAAGATTTATTTATTTATTTATTATCAAAATCAATTAAGAAGAAGAAGAAGATGAAGATATACTTTCATTGTCACGTTTAACACTTTTAATTACAATTAAAGTGTAAGATTTAAGTGAAAGGAAACTATTGTCAGAAAGTTCATGTAGAATCATCCTCGTGATGATTTCACCAGTTCGTTTCATCTAAATTGTATGAATTTGTAGTTTTCTTTACCCCAGAAAAGACCCTTTATATTTAAATACTTTATATTTACATCGAGGCGACCCTCTTTACGGAGGCAGCCATGTTTTTTTAAATTAGTCCAGACTGGACAAACTAAACATCTTTGAGTTTTTATGACGACTGAGGTTTACCACAGTTTATTCTTCATGTTTGGAGGGAGAGGGTGAGGTGAGGGGTGTTCAGCTGCAACATGCAACTTCAACACTAGATATCACAAACTTCTACACACTGAACCTTTAAAGAAAGTTTTCTTTAGAATTTTATTTCACTAAAATTATAAGGTGGAACTCATTTTAACAAGTTTATAAACAGACGGATATTCTAATCTATGATAAGACTTATTACTGGTAACTCATAAAACCAGTCATACAATCTGATCTGGATTAAATGGTGCATTAAATGGATTTATAAGTGCAATCGTTCATTTTGTCAGCTGATCATTTCTATCTATCTGTGTTTTGCTGAGCTCAAGCTGCAGAGAGGTGAATATGTTACCTGACCTGTCTGCTAGTTATCAAACACAATAAAACAATTCACCGCTGATCAAGGCCACAGTCAGTTACCCAGATATCAAGATACAGTAAAGTTGTCTCGTCTCCTTATCGTCATGCAATGTAAAAAAAAAAATCAAATAACAGATCAAGTTCCAATCGTGTCAATCTGATTTTATTCTGAACAAGAGATTCAAAAGCTTTTAATGATAAGGGTTGATGTTGGTACAGACATGTAAAATAACACTGGAGAATGTCCTCACTCATTTATCTGGATATTTTTCAGATGTCATGTCTAAAAACGACTTCTGACTCAGGTTTATCCATAAATTTCAACCTGTTTTCAGACTCATTCTGTCGCACCACGTTTGAATTATTCGTACAGATCATGGGGGTGATTATCAAGTAGCTGCAGAAGTGTAACTACAGGACAAACTGTTCATCTGAGCCCGTTCAAAGATTAGCGTTGATGAGGGTCATTCGGCCTCAGAAGGAGGTTTATGCAGAGTTAGTGTCCTTGAGGGAAGATAACGGACTATAAAGGAAGCGAGGCCTCATATCAGGATTATCGTAATCACGATTGCAGCTGACTCTCTGGTTAGTGCCGGTTTTCTTAGGTCTGCAGCACGACAAGGAAACAACCCCGAGATCACGACTGTACTTTTATTTTACAGTAGGCTTCTGACTAAACCTCCGGTGGATGGGTGTGGTGCTGGAGGGGCGAGAGCTGGTATTAATGTAGTTCATGAGAATAAGGAAATGAGTCCTCAGCATCTGGTTCGTTGTTCTCTCAACTGGTTTGAAAGACCCGCACCTGTAATCAGGGGAGAGATAGTCGGGTTTGTTACGTCAAAGCATCAGCGTTATGTAAAAAAAGAGAATTTCTATAGCTGCTGTTGTAGAGAAGATTTTAAAAAAAGATTATCTTTACCAACGTATTTATATCAACACACTGAATTAATGCACATTCTTGAATGAGGAGAAATGAATCTGCAGGAGGCTCAGTGGAAAACTGCAGCGTCACACAAACTCACACAACTTTAATCTAAACTCATGTAGTTAACAAAAGAGATAAATCACCGGTTTTCTTTAAATCCACATTCACGAAACACAGAACGATCAGTTCACTTGATGTGAAGCCAACGACAAGTGCGGTTGATGGAAAAACTAAAGTGTTATTCTGCCATTAACCAGAATAATCCCCTTTGCCCCTGTTACACCAATAAACACTCACATGGTTTCACAGTCTGCCAACAAAGTGGCGTGATTCCTTACGTTGAGAGGTCAAGTCAACATGTCAAGGGTTCATTAGATACTGCAGCAGGACAAACATCCGTCCGGCTCTTAAGAAATCAAACCTGTGACAGTCTGACAGGAAATCAGGCTCATAAACATGTTGGAGATCAGGAGCTAGATGTTTGTCATGTACCGAGAAAAGTGACTTGTTAAGTGGCAAAAATAAAAATTTAATATTAACTCAGAGAGAAAAGCTTCTGTGTATAAATGTATGTGAAGTATAATTCACAGAAAAGACAAAGAGGTGACGTTCAGGTACTTATTACTCGCAGTTATTGGCTTTCACAGTTTTTGTAAAAAGTTTCTTTGAGCATTTGTTAAAAGCGGGTTAGAAATCAAATGTTTGACGATAACAATAATAGTTTTTATTGTTATCGTCACCTTTTTAAGGTTTGATGCCCCTCCAGAGGTTTTGGGTAACTTTCGTGTTGCTCAGTGAAATTAAGAACGAGGTTAATTTATTTTTTAATCATCATATTAAGACAAAGTTTGTACTTTTTGGTAAACTGTTTTTTTATTTCTGTTAATTTCTTGTGGTCTGAACATGAAGGGAACTTTGCTGTAGCTGATTTTTTTTGCCAAGGTTTTGAAAAGTAAAGTAGAATATTTTATTAAAGACCGAGTTGTAAAACAATACACGCAAGAGTGTTGTTCACTGTGTGGCATGAAAATGAATATACTGTATATACAGAGACTCCTTATCGTCATATTCTAGATTGTATTTTAGATTAAATATTTATTGATCTTATTAACTGCAACCAAATAGGTGAAAGTGAATTTTTCAGAGAGTCTATAAATAGCAGCACATTGTTCACTGTCACTCATTAATACGATGAATGTTCATTATGATCTTATCGGCATCATTGTTAGAAAACCTTTGGACAAACAGTCTGGTCCCTCCCCCTCGGAGCATGTTTATGACTCGACTATCGACCAGGCAGAGGTGATATTGACAAAGATAGAGAGGAGAGCAGCAGAGAGGACAGAAGAAGAGCGGCTGCACAGACGACCCACAGAATCTGACAGAACCACAGAGAAGATGCTTCCACGGCTGGTTCTCGTCGCTCTGCTGAGCCTCACATGGAAAACAGGTCTCTGTCACAAAAAGCTCGTTTCAGTCTGTCGCTGCTGGTTTTTCTTTCCTTTGGATTCTGTTGCTGTAAACTTGAAGCTGATGAACATTTCAGAGGATGAAGCCGAATGTGTTTCAAAGTAAAAACTGACAAACAGGCAAAAACACCAGAAACTAAACTTATAATCTGAAGTTATTTGGTATTAGACGTTTGTTTGTTTTTGCCTACGACAATAAAACAGTAATATGTATAAAATATATATGAGTTAAGAAATAAGAAAACAATGTAGGAACGTTCTTAAATATACATTCATTTTCTACTTTAATTATAGTATTAATGTAATTAATTATAGCATGAATCTATATAGTATAGTGTATATGAATATAGTAATATGATACTTTTCTGATGTTATTATGATGTTTGTCTCTGAGCATCTTCACTGGAGGTGTGTGGTTGTGTGGACCAGAGGAAGAGTAACTTACACTCATGATACTTATTATAATAATAATAATGATCAGTTAATAAAAATCATTTCTAAATCATGTCCTCATGCTTTCAGTGAGCGGACTGCCCTGCAGCCAGATGTTTGCTTCCCAGCTGCCTCCGTCCACCGGTGAGTCAGTGTTGACCAGATTTAATTTAACTGTTTTGAATAATGTATGTTTGAACAATGTGTCCTTAAAGCAACAGTTTGATCAAAGCTCTTAAGATTAAAACTGGTTTACGAATATGTGTAAAAAAAAAATTAAATGTGGAGAAGAATTCGTCAGTTTAACTCTAAAATCTGTAAACTTCTAATTCACTTTTTACTTTAATTGAATCCAGAGTGCAAAGTAACAAATCTACTACGGAATAAATCTTCCTATAGTTAAGTTCTAGATTCTGTTTTAAATGTTTTTTCTTTGCTCTGAAGTGGACGGCGTTCGACCCTCAGACGTGGCTGTGGTTTCCTCCATCGGACTTCACGTGCACAGGTGAGCACGACTCAACAGTGAGCATCAACCATTCTATCAGGAAACCATGACAACACTGTTTCTCTCCCTGCAGCACCGAGCTGTCCACAGTGGTGGCAAGACTCACAGGTAAATCTTCTACTTCGTCGTTTGTTGGGTTTTTAAACTTTAGAGGAAAACTAAGCTTTTGGGTTTTTGAGTTTAATTTAAACTTGGGTTTGTTTCCGTCTGTCAGAGCTGATGTTCATGTTCAATCCTGCACTGATCAGCCCCCCCTCAGTGGAAACAAACCTTTACGCCCCTCAACAAAGGTACAGACGGAACGTTAAGATGAATACAGTGTGGTACGAGTGACTGGTGTTTCATTGTCTTACTCTGTGTTCTTACAGGACACTGGTGGATCAGGCAGAGGACGTGTCCCTCCAGCTCCGGAACAACAAGGTAGGAGCTTTAACGTCCGTTCATTTTCCTATTGAACTTATATCAAACGGCTCGTTTATAGTGTTAATGGTGCAATAACACCATAATATAGTCTTCAACCAATCAAATATCATATAACTCTTCTTTGTTTTAAAACAGCTTGTTGACATTTTATAAATTCAGAATCATTTCCTTGCTATTTCTCTTAAGCCCATGTACATTTATTATTCTATTTATTGATGTGAACCTTTTTCTCAGTATTTGCTGAACCTTAAGTCTGACGTTTTCTGACCTGTTGCGTTCCGATACAAAGATTTAATTACAAATATATAAATGGAAACAGTCTCAGAAAACTGTGATATAAACAGCTGGTATTTGTTTCCACCTGCAGGTGACTGACGTGGACAGAGACTGGAAGCTGGTGCTTCTGTTCGTTCAGGTGGATCGTCTCTGTGCCGTCAAGCAGCAGCAGGTGAACATTGAAATATTGTTATGATGTTATTATTTTAAAAATAGATTTAGATTTTAGATTAGTTCCGCTTGTTCTTTTGTGTTTCAGATGAATAAACAGATGATTTCAGTGTCCCTCTGTTTGTGTGCAGGTTCAGTCTGTTCTCCAGACGCTGGTTGAAGAGGTGGATGAAGCTCTGCAGCTGCTGCGCTCTCAGGTTCATTTCACATCATTAACTGTATTTTTTCTTTCACGTCGCTGTGTTTGCAGAACTTCTTACATTTGTTTCACATCACTGTGTTGCAGGTGAAGCAGACAATCGTCAGCATTGCATTGTGGGATGGAGAACAGCACAAGTAAGTTCATATTCCAGTGGTTCAATGGTTTGTAACTAAAGTCTGACAGATGTGGATTTTTGGGGCTGATACCAATATCAGAGATAAATGATCTTTCATTCTTCTGTGGAAGATGGTGTGTTACCTTTAACAAATGACATGTTGACAGAGGTTTCACATGTATCAAGAGGCTGTAAATGGCTGTGGTGCTCTGTAGTTCACCTAATCTAATCTACTTTATTAGCTTATTCTTTTTATCGTAAAAATGGAGATAGTGAGAGACAATGTGTTTCACTAACAGGACGTGCATGGGAACAAACAGCGAAGGAGAAGTCAGACTCCTGAGGACCATGCTGACTCAGTCTCTGCAGGTTTGTCCGTAATTCATCTTCAACAGTTCGGTCCCGGGGTTATTTTAGCTGCTGTGAATTTCTGATGTGTGTTGGACGAGTATGAACAAGTAAAAATCTCATTACTTATTAAAGCTGAACCTTTCTTCTCAAACTCCTCTTCACTGAGCAGGAGTCCCTGGACGAGCTCCTGGTAAAGAGACGCTGGTACAACGACAGAGACGACTTCACCGTCACTCTGCAGGACCAACCTCTCATCACAGGCCCTGTGAGTTACAGTCAGCTCATATATCTACCATCAGTCTGATAGTTCCTCTAATCTGCACCATCTCAAACACCTTGTTCACCAATCAAATGAAAATCAGGCCCTGACCAGAGCCGCGTCCTTCGTTAGTGTTCGGTAAAGAAACGTTTAAAGAGCGCTGCTCAGTCTCTGAGCCGCTGAACGAGCTTGTGACAGTGACACACACAGAGTCCTGATTATCTCACAGCACAAAGTGAAGATATAAGTTTTATATCTAACAAACACTGTGTTCTTTCTTTATAAACAGAGCGGGAAACATGTATCTGAGTCAGAAGCTACACAACAGACTGATAACCTGATGATGCAGATGTGGACAAACCTGGTAAAGCCTCACACACATACAGAGTCATTGTTCTTTCGGTGGCAAACATGAAGACAAAGAGTTTTCTGTCTTGCAGCTGCAGCCCACAGTCGGCCAACACAACACAGACGACAGTGGAAACATCATGACGCTGCCATGTCCAGCTGAGGTGAGGGACTGCTGGACAACTGCTGGACAAAATGTACTGAGGTTGTAAATAATTCTAATTGTGCGTCTCCTCCTCTGTCTGTGTCCCGCCCCAAAGGACCGACCCTTCCTGAGGACGGAGGGAAACTCTCCTTCAAATAGCCCCAGTGATGTGTCTCCTCTACTTGTCCCTGTGAGTAGTGATGTGGAGCCAGACGGAGGCAGTGGTGGAGGTGTTGATAACTTCCTGTTTAGTTCTGACCGTGGATGTGCTCTGTGTGTCCGCTCAGTTCATGGGAACAGAGATGCCCTGCGACGACTTCAGCCCCTCGGCCTCCGTACCCACCTCAGGTGAGATACTCCACACTTCCAACAGCGAAACGAGGAAAAATAAAACTTTTGTCATTTTTTTCTGCAGAGGCTTTTTGTGATATTTGAAATGCTACTTTAATCCCACCGTGCAGTATTTCTAGAGAGTTGCATTTCTCTATTATTATACTCGATGAGTAGTATTGTTTTAAAGTTGCTCTGGATGTCACGTGATCTCGAATTAAAGGACTCTGATATTATTCTGACTGGTCAGAGACTTTTTCTGTATTTTCCCAGTTCATGAACTCAGGCCTGCAGACATCAAAGTGGTGGCTGCTGTGGGAGACTCTCTGACAGTGAGTCG